AAACCAAGCAGTCCACCACAGAGCGAGAGGGGACACGCCGGGCTTCCTTCCAGAATCCAAGACCATGGGGTTCTGCCTATGCCCTGTCCCTCTTGGGGACGCCCAAGCCCGGACACTCTCCCTGCCTGGACTCGGGGCTGCCCCCAGCTGGCCACCCCCTCGGGGATTCCGGACGCTCATCCACCCCCACTCCACTGCCACCCCCACCCCTGGCCCTCGCGGCTGCAGCAGCCCCGCGCGGATGCTCTGGGCCTCGCCATCACGCCTCGCCGGCGTCTCCCAAGCCAGCCTGTGCGCGCACGGGTCAGGAGTCCTCGGGCAAACCCGAACTCCCTCCGGTCGGGGTTGGGGACCGGAGGGGTCTCGCCGGATGGCGCCAAAGAAGCCGCTCTTCTCGGACCTCGGGCGGCAGCTCCGCGCCCGCTCCGACTCCGAGGCCGCGTCCTCCGGCGGCGGGCAGGGCGCGGCGGGACGCTGAGTGTGTGTGCGCGGCGCGGCCTATATTTACACCCCAAACAAAATAATTACACTTTTGTCGGAGGGAGAGAGCCAGTGATTAGGCGCGGGCTCTTTGCGGCAAAACAGTTTCTCAGTGGTACACCAGTATAATTTTTCACGGCTGGCTGAAATCAAAGAGGGGAGGTAATGAATCCGGCGAGCAATTTAAATTTACAATTTGTAACGCCGCCGCCGCCGCCGCGCAGACCCGGCCGCGAGCGCAGCTCAGAGGCGCTCGCTGGGTTTGTTTAATGTTAAAGCCGCGCTAGCTCTTGGGGGGTGGGGAGGGAGGGGTTGCAGAGTACGCGTGTAGGGGAGCGGGGTGGGGGGGGGCGGTCATGATCGAAGTCGGTATTGGACCGGCTGAGCCGCCCAAGATAACGTGGGAGAAGAGGACGAGGGGCGCGCTCCCCGGGTGTCCCCCCCAGTGCGGGCCACTCAGGGGTGCCTTCGGAGGGATGAAGAGAAATGTGCTGACCGCCCGGAAAGCCCGCATTTCTGCTTGGCCGCAGCATCCCCTGGGCGGGAGTTCCCGCGAGGAGCAGCGAGATGCAACTGAAACGCACCTGCGGGAAGGTCAGCTCCAAAGGTCCGCGAGAGCCCTGATCCGGCCGCTGCCCGGTGCGGTGCCCCCGGAATGGAGAGCTCGAGCCAGCGCCCCCACACCCCCTCTGAGCGCGCCTCGGAACTCCCACTCCTGGAAGGTGTGTGCCTCCTCGCCAGTAATTAATTGCGGAACTCAAGGGGGAATATGCAAACCGCACATTACTAACTCTACAGGGCTTAAGTGATTGGAAACAGATTATTATCTTGTTTGTCTTTTGTCTGTTTTACTTATCCCGCCACCGTCTGTCGAGTTGTAATGTGGATACTCTTTACTCTAGGAGGAAGACTTTTATATAGGAAGTTCCATCAACATCTCGTGTAAGTGACATTGTATCTCCATGCATTACCCTGTTAAGACACAAGCGGTTTATTAGTTACATATAGGAGGGGATTTCGCTGCCTGGTCGCCATCTGTTAGGGCGGGATAATTCGTCTAATAGTTGGTCTGCTGGCGTTTCGTTTTAGGTGTTTTTTGTTGCTTTTTGCTTTAGATGCTGTGTGGAGGGCTGGCGAAGGACAAGCAGTCTCCCCTGCAGCTGTGCTGGGGATCCCGGGTGGCTCCAGGGGGGCTGTGACCTGGACAAGATTGGTAAACTCAGCCACAGAAGCCCAGACCAGAACTTCTGGAAGAGACCTCACCTCCGACAATGGGACATTCAGCCCCACATGACTCACCACGCCCAGGCTCTGGGAGCCCCAGGGCTGCTCCCTGAGACTGCCCCCTATTCCTGCCGCCCCCTGGCCTGGCCCACAGCTGCTGGGACCTGCTGTGCGCTGGCATGCGCGGCAGCCAGGAGGCGAGGGCAGGTGGATGTGTCTGTGATGGAGCCGGTGCACGCAGGCATTGAGCGCCAGCCGCGTGGACAAAGCGGGCATTGGGAGGACCGGGCAGCCCTGACTCGGTGGGGGATTGGGCGAAGGTGGGCTCGGTGTGCCTAGTCCAGAGGCCATCAGATGGGGCTTCTAAGGACTGTATGTGTCCTCCCTCCGTCACCCCAAACTCTGTGCCGTGCAGGATGGGGATGGTTGATTGCAGCGATGAGTCGGATGCTGGATTTGGACGGCCAGCAGAGAGGCAGAGGGGAACAAAAACAAGAGAGAGAAATGTAGAAACAAAGTGATGGAGACACAGAGGGAAAGGGAAACAGGACAAGAACAGAGGCTGGACACAGAAGAAAGGAAAACATGCGAGGGATCGAGGAACCCCAGTGAGACAAAGGCAGGGTAGACGGCACTTTGCCCCCACAGGAGCCTGGGTGCTGCTCCTCTCCTCTCCTCCTCTCTCCTCTCCGTTCTTGTTTCTCTCAAGGACCCTTCGTGCCCCAGGAGGCAGGGCCAGGCACTGCTGGAAACTGTGGCTTCATCTGGGGCCCCTGGAGCCCTACCCTGGGCCTGGGTGCCTGGCCGAGCCTGGCCGGCAGCAGCCCCGCTGTGCTATGTAGACACCTGTCCGTCAGCCGGTGGGAGGGTGAGAGAATAGCACCATCAGGCAGAAGCTGCCCATTTGGGGGCCTCCTTTTCAAAGACAAGGCTTGTGGGTCAATACCCCACCCGGTGACCAGCATCTGTCCATCCCTGTGCCCAGCCCGATTCCCTCCCCTGGAGCCTGGGGACCCCGCTAGGCCTGGACAGGCACTGCCCCAACACAGGCACCCACACATCCCGCCCCCCTCTACATCCACAAAGGTAAAATGCTGTTAGGAGCACACACACAAATATGCCCCCCCAAACCTACAGGAGTTTCATAAGCAAAAACTACTACACGAACAAGCACCCACACCTGTGATACACATAGTGAGGGGCACACAACACAGACCCATACAATTCTGCTCTTACACACACCCCCGTCCAGACTCAGTCACACACACACACACACACACACACACACACATACATTCAGATTTTTAAAAGTCCTTTTCACATTGACGTTAGCACATGTGTGCACAAATAACCCTACACAAATGCACACGCACATGCAAACACCCTCACATTCGCGTGGCCACAGGTAAGCATCTACATACATGCACGGGCCAAAACATGAAGAGTGCACAGAATAGCACACAGGCATTAGCAGAACCACACACAACTATAAACACAAATGCACACAGAATACACGCACCAAACTGTACTCACGTGACTGATTACTGACTATAAACAGGTGAAAATGCCATTCTCAAAATACACACTGACCAACTCGTAAACTACCCTAACACACGGCCAAGTCCAGTCATCGCGCAAACACAACCCTGCAGTTCCAGCGCTTGGGCCCAGGCCTAACGTTCCCTGCCAGCGGCAGCCGCTTTCCAGAGAGGGACGGAAAATCCCGCGGCCCTCGGGCCTCCCTCAATCGGAGTGCCCATCCCCGAGCTGACCCCTTGGAAAAGGAGGCTTGATCCCCCCCCCTCTTTGCCCCCAGACCCACACCAACACCCCTCTACACACACACACACACACACACACACACACACACACACACACACACTCCCAGACGCTTGGCGCCCCCACAGAGCGCTCTTCCTGCGTCCTTTGAGATAGAACTTGCACACCCATCTCACACACCCGTGTGTGTGAGCGTCTGCCCATCGCTAGTGTACCCCACCTTGGCGGTGTGGTGCCCAGACCCGCTGGACCGAGATCTTGAAGGTGCGACTAGGAAAGGCTAGACCTGTGACCGCCACCACCTCTGAACTGGCTCCAGGAAAACCCCTCGCCTCCACTGTCTCCTCCCCACATCTCTTTCGGAGCTCCGTGGGCGTGGAGCTCAGGCCTGAAATTCAGGGGTCCTGACCAGGGCAGATAACACGTCTCCCCCTCCCCCCAACCTGAACCTGGGCCTGCTTGGGGGGAAATACGCAAGCCCAAAGGCCTCCATTTCTCTCTCTCTCTCCATCTCTCTCTCCCCCCCTTTTCTCTCCCTCTCCCCCCCCTTTTCTCTCCCTCTCTCCATCCCAGCCCCCAAAGGCCACCTGGGCCTTAGCCCCTTGTATGACAAAAGAAGCCGGCCGGGCGCTGGGGGCCCGGTGAGCTGCGCTGTAGCAGCTCCAAGGCGCAGACCCCGGGGAAGCGCCCGGGAGAGGGATTCCAATCTGAGCGGCTGGGCTGGGAAAGAGAAGGCGGATTAGCGTGTGCTCCAACCCCGGGCAACTTCTGCAAGTTCCAGGGGTGGCGAAGGGGCAGAGGTCCCTTCCCCCACTAGGCCCAGGAATCCAGGCGCCCCCCCCCCAAATATTTGTGAGGAGAGAGGAAGAGAGAGGCAGTTTCAGATCGCGCGGCCCCCCGCCCTCAGCCCCCAACTGTAAGGTAAATACTTACTTCGCTTCCGAACCAGGTACAAGCTAATACTCAACAATACTGATGCCTTGTTTTTTTGCTCTGTCCGGACCGCAACGCTGTAGCCAATTTAGATATGCTATAAATTTAAGAGGTTGCCATGGCCACCGCGCACCCATTGGCCGGCGGGCCCCCTACGTGCCGCGCCACGTCACCAAATCTGAATAAGGATGCGCGAATTAGGCGGCGGCCAGACAAAGATGAGGATCGGGACCGCTTGAAAGTGGGGGAAAGTGCCGGCGCCTCCGCCACCGGGGAAAGCCGCTCGGCAGCGCCGAGGCCAGCAGCCACCGAGACACCGGGGGGAGCGCGGAACCGGCGCTGGGGCGCGCGGCCCGCGGCATGAGGCTGTGAACGCCACCGCTCCCCACCCCGCCCCGGGCGGCCCAGCGCCAGGCCAGCGATCACCCAAGGATTCGACCGGCTGAGTCTTGGTCCGGACCGGACTCGCCCGGCAGCGGCCGAGAGGAGAGGCGGAGCGCAGCTGCGGGGCCGGGGGTGGGGGCCCGAGGGCCGGGGGCCCAGAGGGAGGGCAAGGCGGCCCGAGCCGCCCGGGGCGCGGGGCTATGATGGTGCACTGTGCCGGCTGCGAGCGGCCCATCCTCGACCGCTTCCTGCTGAACGTGCTGGACCGCGCGTGGCACATCAAATGCGTCCAGTGCTGCGAGTGCAAGACCAACCTCTCCGAGAAGTGCTTCTCGCGCGAGGGCAAGCTCTACTGCAAAAATGACTTCTTCAGGTAAGAGGCCCGCAGCCTGCGCGCCCGGCCTGCGCGCCCCGCGGGCGCCGGGGAAGGGGAAACCGCATCCCCGGCTCAGCAGCCTAGAAGGGGCCGGCCACTGCTCCCCCCGTCCTTGGTCAAGGAAAGGGCCGCAGCCCGGGCGGAGCAAAACGGAAGGTGCCTCGCGGTTGCTCCTCCCGGAGGGCTGGGACCGGAGGTTCCCTGGGGGAGGAAGCTCTGACCAACTTACTCCCCGCCCGACCCTTCCAGCGGCTGCAATTCCAGGTGGAATCGTCAGGCCCGAGTCTGAGAGAGGAAGGATTTTTGCAAAGTTCGGGGTGGCTGGAGGCTTCTCCCACCAGACAGACTGCATTTGCCAAGAGGCGGTCCTCCCCGCGGGCAGGTGGCCCCAAGGCCCTGCTGGACAAACAGCAGCTTCCCGGCGCCCAGGGGCTCGGCCAGGAGCGTTTCCTCCGATGTTTGGGGGAGGGACCCTTTACCTTCTCATCCCCTCACCCCAACTCCGTGAATATTCTCTCCCATGTTGAAAAGTACCAAAGAAATCCAAGCTGACAATCAGGACCTCCAGGGTCTAGTCCGGGGCCATGTCACCTCCCCTTGCCGCCCACCGGGGCCCTCAGGCGGGCTGGGAATGACCACCGCTCTGGGCCTCAGTTTCCCCAGCTGGGAAATGCTCAGGGGTGGCCTGGAAGGCCGTGGGTTTGCAGCAGCTCAGCCCTGCCTGCTTCCACCGGCCCTGGAGAGCGGCTTTGTGAGTGCGAATTCCGGCGCCCGGGCAAGGGGGCGTGATTAACACGGAGGAGCAAGCCTGCCCCCAGCCCCCAGCCCCCAGCCCCAGCTGCTCGGCCTGGGGAATCTGAATAGGAGAAAATGTCAGCCTCGCCTTTACACGTGTAAACTCCCGGCCTGGAGAACCCAGGCCCTAATGCGGCGAGGCTTGCAAAGTGCCTAATGATTTTTGATAAGGTACATATGGCCAATTATGCGGCCGGATAAAGCCAAAAGTGACTTATGGCTTCTAATGCCCTCACTACATCAACGTCACCCAAATTCGCCGTTTAGAGGCCTGGGTGTGAGCAGATGTGGGGCCCAAAGTCCCGGCCCGCTCCCTCCCCAAGTCCCTGCACCTCTCCCACTCGGAGGAGGCTGGCCTTCTCCCCAGGCTCAAAAAAAGGATTTAGACCAGGAATTCAGGCACTGGGGTGCAGGGGGTGGGGTTTGAGCATTCCGAGTGCTGGCCAGGCAGGTGTTGGATTGCCTTCATTTTCCCGCTGCCTGCCAGGGTCAGAGATTTTGGGGGGATGGAGATTCAGTCCCTGCTTCTTGGGGTCCACTGGTCCCCCAGGCTCCTGACTAGCTGTGCTGCATCCCACAGTGGGACTGGGAAGCCCTAGGCACTGGTGGTGCTGGGAATGGGCAGAAGGCTCCCTCCTCTCTGCCTGGGTCCTGCTCAGAAGGGCTCCCCGCCAATGGCTGGATCCCGCCAACCAGGCCAAAGGATCCAGGAGGCAAAGCCAAGAAGGGGTCCAAACCCTGCCTGCCTGGCTCAAAAGCCTTCCTAGCCTGGAGAGGCGAGTTCACCTTGAGCATCCCAGATGGATGTGGGGGTACAGGGAGCATCTTGGGGTGCTCTGGGTCCTCTGCTTGGCTGAAGGCTATGCCCATTGCTCTAAGCCCAGTGGAGTCCAAATAAACCTGAACGAGACATGGCGGTCCCAGCCCCAAGAACAGCCTGGGGCATTGGTCTCCTTCTTGTGCTCAGCCCAGGAGAACAGCAGGGGGTCTCATTGGACAGAGAAGGAATGGAGGCTTCTCAGAAGCCGGGGAGGGTGGGAAGAGGTCGGGGGCTGGCGAGGACGGGCCATCAGGCTGCTGGGTGACGAGCTGTGCTATGTCTGCAGGCGCTTTGGCACTAAGTGTGCGGGCTGTGCGCAAGGCATCTCGCCCAGCGACCTGGTGCGCAAGGCCCGCAGCAAAGTCTTCCACCTCAACTGCTTCACCTGCATGGTGTGCAACAAGCAGCTGTCCACGGGCGAGGAGCTCTACGTTATCGACGAGAACAAGTTCGTGTGCAAGGACGACTACCTGAGCTCGTCCAGCCTCAAGGAGGGCAGCCTCAACTCAGGTAGGGGCCTCGCTCCTCCGCCAGCCCGGCCGCGCTCTCTGCACTGCTCCCTGGTGCTGCCCGGCCCGCACGGAGCTCTCGGCTCCCGGTCACCCAGCGGGCAGCTCGCGGGCGAGGCGGGCGAGGCGGGCTGGGCGCTGGGAAGGGCGCAGCATGGGAACCAGGCCGACTGGACACCAGACCAGCCCTTCCCCTGCCCTCCGATTCGGGAGCCTTTTCCCAGGCGCCGCCTTCCCCATTTGGAACTGCGCGATTCCCTTCCGCTTCCTTTGAGCTCCTGGTCTATTCTCCCTGCCCTGGGAGGACTCTAATCGGAAGGAGAGGAGGGAGCGGGGATCTGAGATCTGAGGCCCCAAGCGCACCTGGACCCTCCTCCAGGCCCCTCTCCAGAGGGCGCGGTCCCCCTCGCCCAGCAATAGGCGAAAAGTGCTGAGAAGGCTGGAGAGGGGCCCTCCGAAGGCCCAGCCCCACCTGGACGGAGTGGGCGGGCCCGGGCCTGGGGGAGGGGCGGTCGCGGGGTTTGGGAGCGAACCCCGCGGGGCTGGCGGCGGCCTCGGCCGGCTAGAACCGGCTCCCGATTGTGGCGGCCTCGGGCCGCCGCTCACGCTGCTGTCCCCTTCGCACTCCCTCCGCCGCAGTGTCATCCTGTACGGACCGCAGTTTGTCCCCGGACCTCCAGGACCCGCTCCAGGACGACCCCAAGGAGACGGACAACTCGACGTCGTCGGACAAGGAGACGGCCAACAACGAGAACGAGGAGCAGAACTCGGGCACCAAGCGGCGCGGCCCGCGCACCACCATCAAAGCCAAGCAGCTGGAGACGCTCAAGGCCGCCTTCGCCGCCACGCCCAAGCCCACGCGCCACATCCGGGAGCAGCTGGCGCAGGAGACCGGCCTCAACATGCGAGTCATCCAGGTGCGGCCCGGCCGGGTCACCTCCCGCCTCCCCGAGCCCAGCCCTGGAGCTGGGAGGCTCGGAGGAGCCTCGCGCCCGCTCCGCGCCGAGTTCCGGTCCCGCGGCCCGCGGTGCGCTCCAGGCCGGGCCCGCGGGTCAAACCCGCAGCCCAAGTCACTGGTCACCTCCCCTCTGAGCCCCGCCTCTGCCCGTCCATGGAGGGTGCTAAGCTTCGCTGGGGACAGACCCCTCCCTTCCTCTTGTCCCCGGAGCAGAGGAGCAGGCGACCTTCCTTCCTCCCGGGCCTCCTCCCTGCGCCAAGGCCGGCTGGCAGACAGACCGACGGCCAGAATCCGGCTGGGAAGCCGAGGGGCCCAGACCAGAGCCAGGCCGGGCGGGCGGGAGGCCTTTATAAAGCCGTCAGGCCGCGGGCGGGCGAGGACGGGAAGCCCGAGTCTTTATGAGTCGCCCCAAGGGTCCGCCAAATCCTTCACCCTTGGCTGGTTCACCGAGGCCCCTCTCCACCCCTCCGGCCTAATCCCGCGCCCCCTCCCCCTCGCCTCTGGGTAGTCTTGGAGGCAGGAGGCGCTAGGACCCCGCAGGGGCGTCCGGGCCAGGAGAGGATGCCTGCCACCAAGCTCACTGCCCCCTCCTCTGTCCCAGGTGTGGTTCCAGAACCGGCGGTCCAAAGAACGAAGGATGAAACAGCTAAGCGCACTGGGCGCCCGGAGACACGCCTTCTTTCGGAGTCCGAGGCGCATGCGTCCCCTGGGGGGCCGCTTGGACGAGTCTGAAATGTTGGGGTCCACACCATACACCTACTATGGAGGTAAGAGGCTGAGCTCAGGGCCGATACCCCAGCTCTTGGCTGCACCAGGGACTCCCCGCCCTCACCCCCCCCCCTTCTATCAAACAAGACAATAAGGGACACACTTTAACAGACACACATCAATACATGCACACTCGCCCACAGACACTTCCTGGATGCAAAATCAGGCACATGGTTCACGCACCCGTCCTGCAGCACAGATCGACACACCAGACCAGCTCGCCACACACCCACACAGGACACACTCCCTCGCACACACACTGGAGTTCAGAGACCTCGGGGACGCATGACTGCACACAGGATACTCCACCCCAGATACACGAACTGACAGACACACCTGGAGAGATCCCCTGGCTCACACACTTCCACTATCAGACCAAGTTGGACGCTTACAAATCCACATGCACCCTGCCCCACGGGATGCATAGCCTCCCCCTGCCCTTGCCCAGGCCTGGGGTACTTGGCACCAGCAGGAACCCGGGCACAGGAGGGCAGTGCGCTGGCGGTGGGGATGGAGGGATCAGGATTCATCCCGAAGCCTGCTCTCCAGCTTCCAATGTACTCACTGGGGTTCTGTGGCCGCGGGTCTGTCTGTGCACGCAGCGTCTGGCACTGGTAGCCCAGATGCAGGCAGTTGCTCGGGGCAGGACTCAGGCCCACTCTCCAGCCCCCAGCCACACCTGCGTTTAGTGGCAGCTGGGGGCTCAAGGACTGGGCCAACCCAGGTCTCAGCTCTCAGTTTTGGGGGCCTCAGGGGGGAGTAGCGTGAGTTTGCAAAGAGCAGTCCTGTGGCTGATGTTACCAGGCTCAGTGCTGGGTCAACTTTCCTCTTGGTCACCCCTCCTCCTCCTCCTTCCCTCTTTCTCTCCTCCGTTCCTTGTACTTGCTCCTGGGAGACCCATCCCAGCTCCCTGCCCACGCTTTCGGAGACTCCGGGCATTTCAGCACTTGCTCACCATCCTCCACTTCCCAAACCACCCCTGCTGTTCTGGAGTCTCTGAATTTGGGGAGCCCCCAGGAGCGCCTATGCCTAATGGGTCTGCTCTGAGTGGCCCAGCATCACAGGCCTGCGGGGGTTGGGGGGCTAGTAGCTCAGTTTGGGGAGAGGCAACTTCTCTTAGAAAAGTGGGTTTGGTGGCAATAGAGGGTGAGGGCCGGGAGCCCAGCCACGGGCAGACCCAGGAAGGACACCTTTTTGGCACATCCTCGGGCCTGGAAGGTTAGATCTTCCCATCTGGCCAGCGTCCCCAGAAATTGTGGACAAAATTCGTGGCTGTGCTTTTCGGGGAGAGACTCTGTGATGGCAGGGCCCAGGTTGGGGGAGAGGGGCTGCAGATGCCCAGGACAGCCTGGATGGGAGACCTCTCCCCCGAATTTTGCCTCCTTCCGCACAAAATCTCGGCGCTAGGAGCTGGTGGGGCGGTCCCAGTCCGGAATGTTCCCTGCCTGGTAATTAACCTAGGGTCCCCCAGGACAGTGCACCCCACCCTGCCGCCTCCTTTAACTCCAGTCTGCTGGCTGGAGTGCGGCCTGGACACCCGAGCCCCTCTTCCCCGGAATGGGGGTGCCGGACCCCCGAGCCCCAGCGAGGCAGCCCGCCTAATCCGCGCTGGGAGATCCCGGCGGCGGCGACCGGCAGCGGGCGAGAAAGGAGCCGGGCGGCGGCCGGCGGCTCCCCGTGGGAGCGCGGACAAAGCCCCAGCTGCGGCTTTTGTGCCCTTTTCAGACGGCGTTTGTCCCAATTACCGCCGGCCCGGCCGCCATATGGGCGGAGGCGGCGCGCTCCGCGCGGGGCCGTGGCCCTCGCAGGCCGGCCCGCTCGCAGCGGGGCCCCTGCCGCTCCCCATTCCTGTCCCTTAGGGACCCCAAATTCGCGCTTCCAAGCTTTCGCTTCAGTTTCGGGGAGAATAGAATGGGTGCTTCTTTAAAAAAGTAATTGGCGAGCGGTTTAGCTGTTGCGTAAACCATCGCCGAGCCGAGCCGAGCCCCCAGACACCTCCGTTTGGACTGATTTCGGGGTTTGGAGAGGGAAGGGGTGTCAGGGGGCCTCCGGAACTCGCCCGGGGACTGAGACCCCGAGACTGAGCAGGGGTGTGCAGACTCCGGCCCTGGGCTGGTTTTCCCGCCGCACAAAGCGGGTTATTGTGGCCAGGGCGGGGCTACGGGGCGCTCCTTTCTGGGGTTCCACACCCATTCCCTCAGGGGCTGGCCTGGGGGGCGGGGGCAGGCTCTGGAAGAATCAGGGAGGGGCTCTGAGAGACTTCGTGGGGCTGGGGCAGGCCTGTGACCTGGGTCCCGTGTCTCCTGACTTTGTGGGCAAAACCCACACGCGTGCCTGTTTCTGGAAAGAGAGGGCTCCCCGCTCCCACCTGCTGGCGTCCCGGCCGCCCTCCCGAGTGAGCCTGGGCGCCCACGGAGTCCTCCCCGGCTCCCCGGCTCCCCGGCGCTGGGCTCGCTTTCTGGGCTCCAGGCGGGTGGGCGCAGGGCTGGCCCCCGGAGGCGCAGAGCCGACGGGCAGGGCGCTGAGCCCGCCCTGGCTTCCGCACCCAGGTTTCCGCACCCCCGGCCCGGCCCCTGCCCTCCACCGACGCCCCAGACGCCCAGGTCCGACTCCTCCGGCGCATTGTGCGCTCCGGTCGCTGCATCCCGCCTGCGCCTCCCCGGCGCTCAGCCTCGGTCCCGGGCTTCCCCTCGGACACATCGCACCGCCTCTCGCGGTCTCTGGGCGTCTGTCTCCCGGACCTTCCGCCTCGTTCCCGGTGTCCGCGGGGCCTTTCACGCGCCTCTAGCCGCGGCCTCTCCTTCCTCCTGGACGATCGGTCTCAGCGCCCTCCCTCTCTCTCTCCCTCTCTCGGCGCGGGGCGCCATCCCGGGGTCTCTGCCTTGGGGACTCGCAGGCCCCTCTCCTGTCCCCTTTCACTCCGTCCGTCCGTCCTCTGCTGACCTCTCACGGCCCCAGTCTCTCTCTCTCTCTCTCTCTCTCTCTCTCTCTCTCTCTCTCTCTCTCTCTCTCTCTCTCCAACTCTAAGCCCCTCTCCGCCGCCTCTCCATCTGTCAGGGAACTCGGGACTGGAGTCGCGTCCCGCGCGCTGCCCTTCGCCTCCGAGTCTCTGCGGCGGCCCCTCCGTCTCTCCCCGTCGGTCCTTGTCTCTCCCCGCCTCTCCCCGCAGCCGGGCCCCTGGGTCCGCGTCGCGCCGCTTGGGGCCGCCCTCTCCCTCGGTCTCCGAAGGCCTCCCCCCGGGTCAGTGTCGCGCTGCCCGCCCCCTGTTCATGTCCCCTCCCGGCGCCCCCAAACCCCTACCCCCGACCCCGCCCGCCTCCCATCTCTCACCCGTCTCTCCGACCCCCGCAGACTACCAAGGCGACTACTACGCGCCCGGAGGCAACTACGACTTCTTCGCGCACGGCCCGCCGTCGCAGGCGCAGTCCCCCGCCGACTCCAGCTTCCTGGCCGCCTCGGGGCCCGGCTCGACGCCGCTGGGCGCGCTGGAGCCGCCGCTGGCCGGGCCGCACGCCGCCGACAACCCCCGGTTCACCGACATGATCTCGCACCCGGACACGCCGAGCCCCGAGCCGGGCCTGCCGGGCGCGCTGCACCCCCTGCCCGGCGAGGTGTTCAGCGGGGGGCCCAGCCCGCCCTTCCCCATGAGCGGCGCCGGCGGCTACAGCGGACCCCTGTCGCACCCCAACCCCGAGCTCAACGAGGCCGCCGTGTGGTAAGGCCGCCGGGACGGGCCGCCCCCCGGACGGACGCAGCGTCCCCGAAACCAAAACGCCCCTGTGGGCTCGCTCAGGGGTTCCCTCCGGGTCCGCATTCGACGCGCCGCGGCCGCCGGGCTGGGCGCGCGGTGGGGGAGCGCCCCCGCCGCCACCCGCGGGCTCCCCGGGACCCCCGCCTCCGCCCGCGCTCCCCTGGCAGCCGCGAGCGATTTCTCGGGACCCAAGTCAGCCCTGCAGGGTCAGGAGACCCGGAGCGCGCGCTGGCCCCGGCCCCACCCCCACCCCGTGGACCCCGAGAGGGCGGAGGCCAAGGGGCGGGGGCGTGTCCCTCCCGCTGCCATCCGAGTGGCAGTTTTGTCATCGGATTCCTCACTCTGCTTTCCCCGTCTTTCCAACAAGGAAGGGAGAGAGGTTGGAGGGGGAGAGGGGAAAGGGAGCGAAAGGAAGAAGAGGAGAGATGGACGGAGAGCGCGCCAGCCGGGGAGGGAAGACGGAGAGAAAGCGAGAAACGCGCTGGACTGGGGCGCCGCTGGGAGACACAGCCGCTTGCGCGTTCGCGCCCCCTGGTGGCCAGTCTTAGGGCTCAAGGTCAGCTTTTCCAGGGAGGCGGGGTGGCCGGACCGCCGCCAGCCCTGGGCCAGGCGCCCCCCTTCTTCCTGGACCGTTATGTTGAGCCCCAGGGGCCAGGCCAGACTCGACCACTCGCCCACCCTGCTCTCCCCGCGGGCGCGGCGCCAAGATTTCTGGGCTCTGGCCCACAGACCCCCTCCCTGCCCCGGGGCTGGAGGCTGGGTCGTCAGGATGTACAGTATTATACTTTTTTGGAAGTTGGACGCTTCTAGTTTCCTTATTTTGTATAAAGAAGAAACAAATAAAGTATGTTTTTGTGTTTACTGTTTATTTATTGTACTCTAGTTATCTGGGGCTGGACATTTTTATATTTTTAAGAGGAGGGTGGGCAGAGTGGGGGAGGGGAAGCAGAAAGAGGTTTACCTAAAAAACAATAAAACACAAAAAAAGAACACAAAAAATCAACTTTTCTAAAAAGAAATATTAATAAAAAATTCTTTTTTGCCCTCAGTGCGACGTGTTTTTCTTTTTCTTTCTTTTTTTCTTTATTATTATTATTTCGTCTGTCTTTATAGTCACTCCGAATAAATGGAATTATTCTTTGCTGGCTCTTGTTTCTGACATCACGCAGACTCCGTGGGTCCAAAGACCTCTCCTTGTCTGAATGGGGAGTTTTTACGGTAACTATCGGGTCATAGAAGTGGCTGCCTTTTCTGTTGTATTTTCCAGCCACTTGCACCAGGCACAGTACCTCCCGGTGCTGTATGTAATACCCCAATCTCACACAAACCCGCCGGACACAGAGTGAGCCTTAACTATATTGATGAATGAATGGATGTCTGATTTGTTTGTCCCAGTATGTCAAAAAGACTCTGGCTTCCATCCTAATTATGCCCCCATGCGATTCCAGGTGCCAAAACAAACAAACAAATAAACAAAAAATACCGGACTGGTAAGCCCGCCCTGTTATCTGCAAGGCTGTATTAGGACAGACGTCCCGTCCCCCCCACCCCCAGGCGAGGCTGTGTGCTCTGCCATTCTCACCCCGCAGGGCAGTGCCTGCTGTGTCCCCTATGGGCCTGCGGAAAAGGGGCTGGATGAGGGTGGAAGGCCTGAGGCCACGGCCTTGAGACAAGTCCCTCCTTCTTTGCCTCAGTTCCCCACTTACAAAAGGGATTGGAAAGAGCGCTCCCTACGTTCCCTGCCAACTTCAGACTCTGCAGGCGAAGGAGATAAAAATCAACGGGAGGGTGCCCTGCATGTGGACCCTTTCCGCCCGAGCTTGGGTGGGGGTCTTGCCCACTTAGAGTAGCGGGGGAGGGAAGGGGGTGGGGAGATGGGGAGAAGTGGACCCCGTGGGATGCGTGCGTGCGTGCTCAGAGCCCTACCCCTGCTTTTCTTCTCTGCGGGCTTCCCGAGAATAACGCAAGGCGGCCTGGCTTTCTCCTTCCTTCCTTCCCTCGATGCGCCTTTGTCTCTATCTGACACATGCAACTTGCTTATTGTGGGAAATTTACAAGTTTCAGGTAAACAAAAGGAAGAAAATGGAATCACCCCGGATCTCAAACACTGTGGTATGTAGCAGATGCACCTCCTCCCAGACTTTTTTTCATTTTAAAACAAGAGATTGTACGTGTACACACACACACACACACCAGGCATACACACACACACACCAGGAATACACACACACACATACACACACACACACACACACACACACGTGCGCACGGTCTGCAGGTGCCCGCCGCATGCCCACAGCATCAGTCTGAGAGAAATGGGGGTGGGGGAAGTTTCACTCTCATGTCAAGGGACACTTGAGGGGGGCATCAGGTCTCAGAGGGTGGCCCCAGAAACCAGGTTTCAGAAGGATGCTCACCTCTGGGGTCATGTACGTGGGACTAACTCCCCCTGTGAGCTCATTTCAACTTCTCAGGTGCCTCCTGGGCCCAGGGCTCAGGGAGGAGAAACCCCACCCTACCCCACGGCACCCTGTGGCGGGGCCCTGCACAGTCACAGTCACGGACACAGTCAGGCACTGAGTGTCAGGGAGGCAGCTCCCAAGGAAGGCGGAGTGGAGAAGGGGCAGCCTTGGGAAGGGACCTTTGTCCCTGGACCCACCATCACTTTCTCAAAGTGTGATCAGAGGATGATGCTTGTCCAGCGTACATACCTGGGCCCCAGGACCGCGCCCAGGGCTGGAATCCCTCTCGGGGGCCGTGCCAGGATGCTTCTCATTTGTCAAGCTCCCAGTTAATCCCGATGCCTCCTCCGAACTTGCAGGACCACTGCCCAACAGTCTTGTCCAGAGTCTGGTCCAGTCTCACAGCGCCCCTTCAGGATGAGTGTTGTTACTCCCATTTTACAGATGAGGAAACTGAGGCCCAAGAAGTGAGGTGAGCTGCCTGCGGTCACAGAGCTGGGGAGGAGCAGAGCCAGGTTTTCAATCAAGCACATCTGCTTCCAGAAGCCACGTTTTCCCTGAACCCACGACCCAGCCTGGCACTGGTAAAGCCTCATTCTGCGTCCAGTAACTACATAGATGAGTGAGTGAGTGAGTGAGTGAAATGAATGCTTCAGTCTGAAAGAAATGAGAGGGGGGAGAGACTGTTAGGAAAGGGTCTAAGGCATGTGAAGTCTCCCTGCCAGCACCCTCCCTGGGCTTTGGTCAGCACGCCGTCCTGGGTTAGCACAGCTAGCCAGAGGGCCGAGAGCTCATGGAAACTGCCAAGATCAAAAGACATGAGGACCTGCTCTTCTCTGCTTGCCTTTGTCTCTTTCTCTCCCTCCCCTTCGTCCCTTTCCTCCTCCATTCATGTATCTGTTCATCTCTTTCTATCTCTTCATCACTTGTGTTTATTATCATTTAAAAATGAAAGGTTTCTGAGGGGAGAAAAAATACCTGGGAGCTTGCAGGTAAGGAGGTTAGCCAACGCCTGGCCGCGCCCTCCGCTCTGGGGAAAGGGGACCTCGCCGCCCCCTCCCGGGCCCAGCTCGTAATTATGGGCAACACCGGACAGTGAAACCACGTGTGTTCCCACCCGTCATGCACGCTCTCCCCGGCCCCATTCCTGTCCCCCTGTCCCGAAGTAAACACCCCGCGGAGCACGAGAGCCGACCCTCTGTGCTCAGGACTAATATTTAAAATGCAGAATGGCTGTGGAGGGCCCCTGCTCCCAGCCTCGCCGTGCGGGAAAAAGATATAAACAGAATAAATTACCTCTCCAGCGCGGATTATGAGAGGACCCATCTCCTGACCGGAATTTTAAGTCCTGCCTCCCTCGTAGCGCTGCACGCGGCTGATTTATGGAAGCCCGCACGCTTCTCTGCATATTTCTTCTGTTCAGCCAAGTGGCCCAGTTTACCCTTCCTATGCCATTAGCGTTATTAACACCTGGGCAACCGATCATTGCAAATGGGCCATTTCTGTGATGGACGGGAACCTCTCCCGCCACTTCTCTCGGGCCCAGCCACCTCTGGCCTCCTCTTCCCGCATTTTGTGCCAAGACCTCCCCCCCACACCCCTGCTTCCCCAGCACCTGCCCATAGGCTCCTGGGAGCTTTGGGAGGACACCCTCACCCCAGCAGTTGCCTGTGGCTTTCTGGCTTGCACACAGAGAATGACAACTTTGCTCCTATTTCTAATTCTTTGGAGAATGTTCCAGATGGAAGGCAATGCCCGCATTGACCAGGGAAAGAACTGAGGCTCAGGGAGGGCAGGAGGCTGGCCTAAGGGGCCACAGAGGGTTTACCTCGGAGTTGGGGTCGCAATTCATGTCGTCTAGCCCCTCGATACTCAACGCGTGGTCTGAGGACCAGCAGTAAAAGGAAGCTGGCAGGCATGCAGATGCTCAGGCCCTGCCCAGCACCGGACAGCCAGATGCGCTTGGTCCCCAGGGGATGGGATCCATGGTTGGTTTGGGAGCACTGGTTTAAGAACACACCCAGCCCCAGCCGGTTTGGCTCAGTGGCTAGAGCTTCAGCCTGCAGACTGAAGGGTCCCAGGTTTGATTCCAGTCAAGGGTACATGCTTGGGTTGCAGGCTCAGTCCCCAGTAGGGGGCGTGCAGGAGGCAGCCGATCAATGATCCTCTGTCATCACTGATGTTTCTATCTCTCTCTCTCCCTCTCCCTTCCTCTCTGAAATCAATAAAAATATATTTTAAAAAATAAAAGCACAACCATCCCTTTTTTCACAGGAGGAAAACCTTATGGTGCAAATTCTCTTTGCTCAGCAGCCGCAGGCACCCAAGTCCACGGTCAAACTACATGAAGATGAAGCAGGCGGCCAAGCTGGCGACGCCCGTCCAGGCACCTGCCACACTCTGTCCACTTCTGCCCCCATCATAACATCTCAACCCACGTGGCAGCTTTGTCCCCACCCCCAGACTGTGAGCAACTGGAGACGTGCAACCTCTCTGAGCCTCAGCCTTGCCATCTGCAAAAAGGGCACAGTGATATCTAAGGGGAAGAGTCATTGTAAGGGTTAAATGAGGCCGCATGTGTCATGCTCTAAGCATTGTGCCTGGCATGGAGCAGGTGTTGAGGGATGAAATATAATAACACAGCAACGAGGGCTATATCACTGGCCATGTATTGGATGCCGTCATTACCGTTATCATTATCCTATTTTCTTCTTTGCATCATGTTTTAAACAAGGACTAAAGTCACAGCCTACTTACTACTTTCCAGAACATGCATTTAAAATCGCCATGTTGGCTAACGGAAAATCCTATGGCCTGTGAAGTTAAGAATGGGTCTGGCCTAATCCTATGTAATAAAAGCATAGTATGCAAATTGTCCCCTTGATCGGGAGTTTGTCTGGGAGTTCAACCAGGGGGCGGGGCTGGCGGGGAGAAGGGAGGGAGTACCCGGCCAGCAGCTGGCAGCCCCTAGGGACCCTACCAGTGCATGAATTCTGTGCACTGGGCCTCTAGTGAAGAATAACTTGCTGATCTGTTTAACAAGAAATGCACCGTCCGTGAAGGAGTGAATACACAGATGCAGTGCGTCTGTGCGATAGACTATTACGCAGCCCTGACTATTGCGATGGACTATTACGCAGGAGCAGGGGACTGACACGTGCTAAGATGCAGGTGAACATCAGGTTGCTGAGTGAAAGCAGCCAGTCACGAGGAAACCTCCCATTGTCTGATTCCACGTGTATGAAATGTCCCGAGTAGGTAACTCCATCGAGACAGAAAGCAGATTGGTGTTTGCAAGGGGCCAGGAGCTGGGGGTCAGGGGGAAGGAAGAGTGGACAGTCACCGCGTAAATGGGACGGGGTCCCCTTCTGGGGTGACCGGAATGTTTGGAACTGGATGAAGGAGGTAGTTGCATGAATTCTCAATGCACTCAATGCCTCTGAATGGTTCCCTTTAAAATGATTAATTTTTGTTATGTTTCACCTCACTAAAACACATACGGATTAAAACAGGAAATGCAATGTTATTAGAATCAGGGGCCTCCAAAAACAGATCCCGATGCCCAGGGGGAGCCCGTACTAATGCCGCTGCAGGTGCTCCAGCCCAGGCCCCCCACCCTCCACCCCCCGCCCGCAGGTGCTGCTGGGGGAGCTGGCCTCGCACGCTTCTGTGGGCCCCTCAAATCCGAGGCAGCATCACTGTGTGTGTGACCGAGGCAGAGAGCCCCGGGTGTGGACGGGAGGGACCCCGAGCCGCTGGTGAGCTCACAGGTGCCCATGCCTCTTCGGAGGAAGCCCCTGTTTAGTTCCCTGCTGGCTCCTTGCGGGGGAGGAGAGAGGCGCGAGAAGGTAACTAACGCACCTGCTCAGCGTCCCAGCTGCAAAGAAGCGAGGTGGGTGTGAACTTGGGTATTTAAACAGCCGGCTGGGCCGTTTCCTGCCCACCTAGCTCAGGAGGTAGGGCGCAGGCCGCGGAGCCTCGGGCGGCCTCCGTTTCCCTGTCTGTAACCTGGGACGGATGGCAGCCACCCCTCCCTGGAGTCCCGGGGTCCAGGAAATTCAATCGCCCTGTGCATGCACTCGGCACGCCACAGCTTCTACCCTGAAAGGAAGCAAAAAAGGCCCTTTCCCACCTCTTCTCTCTCTGCTGGTTCTCCCCTAATGGAGAAGCTTGAATGTTTGTTCTTCAAACGTTTATTTCATTCTTTAGGGTTCTTGGAGGGGGGGTTGTTTTGTTTTTATTGGAAAGGGGCGGATAGGTGAAGGTAATCTGTTTTCGGACTGAAGATAAAAAAAAAAAATCGCAGCGAAGGGCCGGCCTGACTCCATAATTAATGGGGCGGCTTGTGATAGGGTCCCCCTGCCGGTGGCGCTCCGGGACACGCCTTTTTACATAAGATATGGCCCGCGCCGGAGCGGCAGCCGTGATTTATGGGGTTCCCTGCTCCAGAAAACCTCTCCCGGGTCGCCCAGCCCTGGAATTTATCAGGGAGTTTGGAAGCGAGGCGAGAAACCTGCCCGTGACATTTTTGGTGGAGTTTAAACAGCACAAACACTGGGGAAGGGAGAGGCCGAGGGGACTGGGAGGGAGGGGGTGCAGGGGGGGCATCTGGGTCGGCTTTCCTGCTAGCAGAGCCTGACACGGGGATTCTTGGCTGGCGATTTCTTCAGGGAGGGCGCAGGGCAGAGGAGGAGGGGAGGGGAAACACAGGGGGCGGGGGTGGGGCTGGGGGTGGCCTCCCAGGCATCTCTGGGCCCAGTGGCTTCCATGGGCTGCACCCACCTGATACAGGGGCCCCAGCCTAGGTGAGGAGACTGCAGGGTGAAGGTTTGGGGGTACAGGTGATAAGAATCCAGGCTGGGGTCAGGGCCGAGGGAGGGGGGTGCCTGATGCTCCCTCCCCCAGGGCTCTGGCTCGGCCTCAGAATAAACAGCCCAGCCCTGGCCACACCTGAGCCCGGGCCCTTCCCCTTCGCACATGCTGTTCCCGCTGCTCTTCCCGCCGCCCGCGTGGCGGCTCCTTCACTCCCTCCGACCTCGGCTTCTCGGGCCGTCCTCCTCCAGGACCATCGACTAAGGCCTCAGAGGCAGCGCCGTCAGGGCCACGTGAATACGCTGGGTCCTGATGCGGACAAACCAGCCCTAACGAGACGCTGTTGAGACCACCTGGGCGGGGTGGACGCGGAGCGGGGGGTAGATTCCCATGAAGGAGCCACGGGGTTGTTGCGGTGCCGTGGGATGGCGTTGTGCGTACAGTAAACATGTGTCTCCTCGCCTGGTAGGGATCCACCCTGACATGCTTGACGGGTAAAACAGTACGGCGCCTGGCTTGCTTTCACAGACCCCCAAGAGGACACAGGTGCGCACACAGCCAAGCTGGGATGTGACACTGGCCTGGGCGAGACGTCCTGTCCCCGCCGTGAGGGGCCCCGGGGGGCTCACACCGCCTCGCCTGGGGCAGCTCTGGGCAAGAACCCCTCCTCTGCCAGCCCAGGGCTGCCTCCAAGCCTCTGCATCCCCCTGGCCTCGGGCTGGAGCGGGGGGGGGGGGGGGGGGACCAGGTGGAGGTGCGGCCTCTGGAGGCAGGAGTTAGAGAGCCTGGCGAGGGGACCCAGGAACACCCCCCCTCCCCCCGGGGAACTAGGACGCACAGGAAACAAAGGCGGTCTGGGCCAGGGACGGGCCCCAGCTGGGGAGGAGAAGCAGGCGGGTCCCCACAGGTACCCACACCCGTGGCCCAGTGTCCAGGGCTCCCCACACAGCCCTGGACCAACACCTAGAAGTCCTGCTCCCGGGGCCCAGCTGGCAGGCTCCCCATCTTCCCACTGAGCGTTCGAGGGGGCAGAGACGGAGGGTAGGTCTCTGTGGTTCACATCTCACCCCATCAATCACAGCCTGTGGCCGCGGCTCCATTGTCCGCGTCCTTCTCTCTCCCTGTGCTGCCCCTGCCCTTGGCGTTCCTCGGGTGTCAACCAGGAAGGGCTGCCCTAAGGTGACTGACGTGTGTTATCTGGACAGAGTCAACAGGCCCCTTGGCTTCTTATCTCCGGCTTGCCGAGACCAGGAGAGGGGCAACCAGCAGCTGCCGAGCCTCCCAGGAGGGCAGCCCAGGGCGGAGGCTGCCTGGGAGACAGAGCACCTGGATGGAGGCGAGCTCTGCCTCTCACCTGGAGGAGCAGGGGGTGGGGGAGACCATCGCTGGCCGAAGCAACCCAGGAAGGCTTCAGGGAGGAGGCTGCCCTGCACTGGGCTTTGAAGCATGTGTAGGATTTAGAAGCAGACGGCGCGTGTCAGGCAGGGGACAGAGCTTAAGCAAAGGCCAGGAGGGGTGAGAGCCGTGCGGGTCAGAGGCATGAGCCTCGGGTGCGTAGATATCAGGGTTGCAGTCCAGCTGCGCGACTTGGAGTAAGGGCTCTGTGCCTCTGCTGCCTCATTTGCAAACATGAAGATAATAGTACCTACCATTCGGGTGATTGTGAGATTAAATGAAATGACTGCTATGGCCCAAAGCACACCGTGGGCGCTCAATGTATCAAGGGATGTTAGTTCCTCCGCACCCTTCCTTGTCGGGGAAAGCGCTCAGGGCACAGTAAGAACTATCAGTTACTGAAAGCCTGCCGAGGCCGGGTCCCCAGGGATAATCCACAAACCACCCGTTTTACAGGTTAGAACACTGAGGCCCTGAACGGAGCTTCGTTTGCTCAAGGGCTCTGGGGGGCCCTCCTCCTGTGGGGAACGCACACAGTATCACCCCAAGGGGACAGGGCTGGTCCTGCTGGCTTCTGAGGGGCAGGTCTGGCCCTATGTCTGGGGTCAAAGAGAGAAGCAGACCCGGCAGCAGGAGGTGGGGGAGGGCACGCCACTCTCAAGCCCTCCACTGGAGGGAAGAGCTAGGCGCCAGGGGACGGCACGGCTCGGGCCACGGAAAGGAGGTGGGAAATGGCGGCTGGGCTTCCTGCCGCCCAGAGGTGCAGCCTGAGGCCCAGCGAGGGGAAAGCATTGCCCAAGGTGGACATGAAGCAGGGGTGCCTCCGTGTGACCAGGAGGTGGGTGCTGCCGGGGGCTGTGGCGCCAGCTGGCCCCACTCCCTGAGCCTTGTTTCCTGTGGGGCTGGAAAGGTTGGGTAGAGCTCCCCATGCAAGACCTGGGGCCCCGCCATCTCTGGGACTCAGCACCTCCAGGGGAGGGAGGGCCCCCTGAGGCAGGGTCTGGGAGTCAGAGGGGCAGGATTCCCATTGGAGGCGCGTTGCTGCCCCCTGGTGGCGCCAAGAGACTAACTTCCCCTCCCGTTTCCTAGGAGATCCTCTGGCCATCCATCCAGTCCCCACCCTCCCTGTGACCCACACGTGGGTCCAGACCCACCTGGAGGTCCCACCGCCACCACCCCCACATGAAGAAGACCGAGGGCCAAGACATGCAGAGTCCTGTTGAAGGTCACAGGGTTTGAACCCGACCGGCCCACATTCCCATGTGCGACCTTGGGTGGGTTAGGTCACCGCCCCCTGCCTCGGTTTCCCCATCTGTAGAGTGGGGTGGTAATAATGGTTTTATTTCATGGTGCCCTTTAGTGTCAGAGAAGATAATGAGTAGTAAGTTCTTAGACGGGTTTCTGGCCCACAGCCGGCACCTGGTAAAGGATGGAGATGTTGTCTTCACCTGCCCAGGCCCGAGAAGGGACAGGGCATCCCCGCCTCGTCCTGTCCCCCAGCTGAGGCGAGCCCTGCTAGGAGCTCAGCGCAGCCGGCTGCCCTGGGAGGCCTGAGCGTGGAACCCCTGGCTTTGCTTCTCAGGCTGTGGCGTGCAGGGAGCTGCTCCATCAGAGCCGGGCTTGAGGAATGAGCTCATGGAGGTGGGAAGAATGGGCCCGCCAGAGTTACAGACTCAACTCAGGAAGAGTTTATTGGTCAGGGCTGTGGGGGTGCTGAAGGGAGCAGTCCCGGAGGGCTTCCTGCAGGAGGCGGCCAGCCCAGAAGCCCAGGGTAGCTTCCAGGGCCATCTGTGAGCACAGAGGCCCCTCGGCAGCTCCAGGAGCATCCAGGAGCCTCAGCTCTGGCCTAGCTGGGCCTTCAGTTCCTGCAGCTCCCGGCTGTCAATGCTGTTGCCTCCACACACAATGACCACCACGGAGGCCAGCGTGGGGCTCAGGCGGCCCGCGGCCTGGAGCTTCCCCAGGAGGCCGGAGTAGATGGCAGCTAAGGCTGCCCCGCAGGCAGGCTCCACCAACATGCGCTCGTCATCTGCCCAGAGCGGGGGATGGGGTGGAGAGGAGAGACGGGGAGACCAGTCAGTGCTCACAGGCTCTGGGTGTTGCAAACCCATGCAGCCAGCCAGCCATCTCACGGCCTGTTTGTGCGATTCCCTCTCCATCCATCTGTCTCTCCACCCATCCACCTTTCCTGTATCTATCCATCCATCTCTTCCTCTATCCATCACTAGACTGTCTGTCTGTCCATCTATTAGTGTGGCCATCAATCAGCTTATCCATTGATCCACCCATCCATCCATCCACTATCTATCTTTTGACTATCTGTCTGTCCATCCATCAATGTGTCTATTAATCAATGTCCATCCATCTATTCGTTTCTACGTCATTCATCAATTCGTTGCCCCATCAATCCCTTTGCCCATCCGTCTGTCCATTACCCACCTTGTCACTCACACATCCCTCCATTCATTCGACACGTCTTTACGGCGCGCCCACTCCCTGCCCAGCCCTGCACTAGGAAGACCCTGGGGACACAACAGTGAACAGACACACCAGCCCCTGCCCTCAACGCGTTCACGACCTAATGATGTAGACGGATTAGAATCAGGCAGTTAGGAGATTAGTGGGATTGGTGCATAGGAAGTGTCCGACCCAGGCCGGGTGGGGGTGAGAGATCAAAGGAGGCTTCCTGGAGGCGGTGTCATGACGGCTGAGTAGTCACATGGAGCTGACAGGGAGCAGGGCTGGGGATGGGCAGCTCCGAGAAGAAGAGCGTGTACGAAAGTCTGGAGGCTATAGCGACAGCACAGCACACCCTTCTGTAGGCCCTCCCCTTCCACCCACTCATGGCACAGTCACTGCCCACCCAGCCGGCGACAGGCACTGGGCACACGCTCTCACTCGGGGACCTGAACCTCGTAGGTGTCTGAGCCCAGGTCGGGGACAGCGCCCACTCACCGAGGAACCGCTGCACGGCAGTCACAGCCTCGCTGTCCTCCACCACCTCAGAGAGGATCCGCAGCTCCTGCGTGCACGCCAGGGCCCGTGCTGCCACCGTCTTGGCACCCAGGCACTTGGCCACGCTGTAGGAGGGGCAGGTGGGGCGGGGGTGCAGGATGCAGGGAGGAGCTGGTGAGCCACACGCAGACCCAGCTCTCCCTGCTCCTGGCCCAGCGCGGCCCTGCCCACACCCTGACTTTGGACTTGCAGCTGCCAGGGCTGTGAAAGAACACGTTTCTCTTGTTTCCAGCCCCCTGATTTGTGGTGATGTCTGTGAAGCCCTGGGTGACACATACAGCGTCCATGATGTTGGATGAAGAGTATGAGGCAGGGGCTCTCTGTTCATTAATTAGTTTATTAGTTTATGAGCTGGTTGGACTCAGTGGATAGAGCGTCGACCCATGGACTGAAGGGTGCCGGGTTCGAGTCCAGTCAAGGGCAAATATCTTGGTTGCAGGTCAATCCCCTGCCCTGGCCAGGGCACGTGCGGGAGGCAACCAATTGATGAGTCTTTCACATCAATATTTCTCTCTCTCTCTGTCTCTCCCCTCTCTTCCACTCTCTCTAAAAATCAATGGGAAAATATCCTCAGGTGAGAATTAACAAAAACAAAAACAAAAAAAATGCAATGGGGGGAAAATTCTCTCATGGTGGTGCCCAAAAAACCCACAAAACTGTGTTCACGTTATACAATATGAACAGAAAAACAGCGGTTACAAAACTGTCCGAAGACTATAGTCTCCGCTTTTAAAAATACGTAACTGATTCCTTTTACTGTGTGCCCAGCACATGCCACTTGTGGGCAATGGTGCATGGACGGGGGCAGGGCGGGGAGGGAGGCAGGCAGAGATGGGGGAAGGTGCAGCCCATGTGAGCAGCGGGCACCGGACGTGAGTGAGGGTGGCGCTCGGTTTTCTGTGGTTGGCGCTTGCCGACGCTTCCAACGGCAACGCACCGCCATTGCCTCGGTGACGACACCGACCAGTGGGAGCTGTTTTACTCGCTGATGAGACGGACATGAAACAGACCCTCCTCCTGCAGCACTGCCTTCAGCTGAGACCCGCAGGCTGCGGCTGGAGTCCCGGGTGAAGGAGCCCTCCTGCCTGTGCCCGCCTGCCCCCCTTGGGGCCAGGAGCCCCGGAAGCTGCATCCTCGCCCTCCAGCCCCACAGACGCCCAGCCCGCGCCGACCTGGTGATGCTGGGCAGCGTGACCAGCCTGCCTGCCTCCACGGCCGCGTTGAAACAGTGGGCCCCTCGGGTCTCCATGGCGACGATGGGCACGTGCTGCCAGCCCACCTCGGCCAGGCCGGCCGACACCCCGGCCAGGAGCCCCCCGCCCCCCACCGCCAGCACCAGGGCCCCCGGGGGGCTCCCCAGGGCCGCCTTCAGCTCCCGCACCAGGCTGACGTGGCCGTCCCTGGAGGAGAGGAGGACAGGGGGAGGGAGGAGCCGGACGAGGGAGACCCTCAGCCCGCCCCTCCCACCCTCAGCCAGGGAGAGGAGGCCCCGTCGCGCCCAGCTCCTCAGCTCGCTCAGCTCCCGCCACTGAACGCAGGGCAGAGGCGGGGTCTGACCCCCAGTGCGCCTGGACTCCATGCCTCTTCTACTCTCTGGGCCTCGGCTTCCCCTTCTGTCCAATGGGAGAACCCCGATTCAATGAGGGCTTCTCAACTCTGAGCTCGGGGGGCGAGGGGGGGCACCAGCCTTACCATATCAGCGGGTGGTCGAACGGGGGCACATTCACCCAGCCGTCCCTCCTGGCCAGCTCCTGTGCCCTCAGGTTGGCCTCGTCCCAGACCTAGAGAGCAAGTGCGGTCAGAGGACCTGGGGGGCAGGCAGCCTCGGGGTCCGTCCTGGGAACCCGAACTAACAGGGCATTTCAGAGGGAGCCCCCAGCCATCTCCTCTCCTGAGGGGACGAGGGGACGCGGGGATGCGGGGGCAGAAACAGCTCTGCCCATCCTCTGGCACCACAGTGCCCGCTTGGCCTGGGCCTGGGCCAGGAGCAGGCGGAACAGACGTATAGTCCTGCCCACGGGGACCCTCGTCCAGGAAGAGCTGGGCCTCCTCCTCTTGAAATATTGAAGCAAAATGAGCCTTGAGACTTGTATGCATGCATATAAGCATAAACAATGGACATAAGACACTGGGGGATAGGGGAGGCTAGGGGACTGTCTAGGGCGGGGTGCGGGGGGAAATGGACACATATGTAATACCCTTTGTATGACTTTAAGCAATAAAAAAAATAAAAAAATAAAAATGAGCCTTGAAGCTGTGCAGCCCTGAGCGCCTCTCGCTGGACGCCCCCCGCAGCCTCCTGTCCCTGCCCCAAGCAGCCGGGGGCCACATCCAACCACGGCCCCCCTCATCGTCCCCCCACGGCTCCCCATGGCCCCCCTCGCTCATCGTCCCCCACGGCTCCCCATGGCCCCCCTCGTCATCCCCCCACGGCTCCCCATGCCCCCCTCGCTCATCGTCCCCCCACAGCTCCCCATGGCCCCCCTCGCTCATCGTCCCCCCACGGCTCCCCATGGCCCCGTCATCGTCCCCCACGGCTCCCCATGGCCCCCCTCACCGTCCCCCCACGGCTCCCCATGGCCCCCCTCGCTCATTGTCCCCCCACGGCTCCCCATGGCCCCCCTCACCGTCCCCCCACGGCTCCCCATGGCCCCCCTCGCTCATCGTCCCCCCACGGCTCCCCATGGCCCCCCTCACCGTCCCCCCATGGCTCCCCATGGCCCCCCTTGCTCATCGTCCCCCACGGCTCCCCATGGCCCCCCTCACCGTCCCCCCACGGCTCCCCATGGCCCCCCTCACCGTCCCCCCACGGCTCCCCATGGCCCCCCTCACCGTCCCCCCACGGCTCCCCATGGCCCTGGGCTAGGACGCCTGTCAGCCGCGCTGTATTTTTGGTGACCAGGAGACCCAGGCGCCCTCAGCCGCGCCCTCTTCACACTGGGGTGGTCTGGGAATGGAGAGTGACGCCATCGCCTTCTCGTACCTTGTGTCTCATCAAATGGCAAACAGCTGTAAAGCGGCTAGCACCAGGCCCAGCCGGCGGTGAGCGTGGGCCCATGAGCCAGGAGGTCAGGGTTCGATTCCCGGTCAGGGCACATGCCTGGGTTGCAGACTCGATCCCCAGTGTGGGGTGTGCAGGAGGCAGCCGATCAATGGTTCTCTCTCATCATTGATGTTCCTCTCTCTCTCCCTCCCCCTTCCTCTCTGAAATCAATAACAAAATATATTTTTAAAGTGGCCCATGAGGCTGGGGAGACAGGCGCACTCCTGCCCATCCCCAGCTCCTGCCCCCACCCCCCCCACCCCCCCACCCCCCCACCCCCCCCACCCCCCCACCCCCCCCACCCCCCCACCCCGGCTCCTGCAGGGGAGTCTTCTCAGGCAGGCTCAGGCAGGGCCAGAGGTCCCAGCCCTCCACACACACCACACCTCACTCCCACCCGTCAGCTCGGCCAACCCAAGGGCAGACCGGGTCCCAGGCAGAGTTCAGCGAGAGGAAAAGGGGGGAGGTGGGGTGGCTTCCCCTTCCTGGGGTCCTTACCATTCCAACCAGCTGCACCTCGGCCCCCTCCCCCTGCAGCCTCTTCACCACGGGCTGGGAGGCGCCCTCGGGGAGCACGATGGTGGCGGGAATGCCCAGCTTCCGAGCGCAGTAGGCAGCCGCGAGGCCCGCGTTGCCCCCTGTGGAGGCAGCAGAAGGCGGAGCAGTGGGCAGCGTTGCCTTAGCCTGTTGACAGACCTTTGCCCCACCTCCTCCATTTCCCCGTAGGAGTCACCCCTCCCCCACACCTAGACGCCCCACGAGTGAGCCCTCTCCCTGGCCTCAGAGGTGGACACGCGATCTAGATGGAACCCATCAGAGAGCACAGTCGCCTGACCCATGACGGGTTCAGGGATGAGCACATGACCCAAGCTGGGCCCAGAAGACCGAGTCATGGGTTGAGGGGAGCCCCGGGGAAGGGGTGCTCCCTTTTCGCTGGGGTTCGTAGGATGGCAAGAAGCAAGCCTCACCCTCCCGACGGCCATCGTGCTGCCACGAGGCCTGAGTGAGAAGGAAGCTAATAGAGAGGAAAGAAAAGCCAGGAGTAGGGAGGGCTACGGATGAGAGCTCCTGGATCCAGCTGTGCCTGAAAGCCGTTTCTCCTGAGACTTTTCAGTTCTTAGAACCCGGAGCTTACACCTGTATGAACTGGGTTTTGGTCACTTCTACTAACGATGGGAACAGGGCTGGGAGAGCACATACAAATGGCCATCGGACCATGACCTTGAGAGGCTGGACCCTTAAGAGGAGGCCGAGCCCTGGATGTCTGCTGCTGCTCCAGCGAGCTCCTCCTCCCCCACACCCAGCCCTGGGGACCCTCAAGAGCAGAAAGGTGTGGGGTCACCTGAGGAGCACACCAGGTGCCTGCATCCCTTCTTGGCCGCCTGGGAAGAGAAGGAATGGGGTTGAGGGCAGGGGTCACGGAGCCCCCTCCCATTCCAACACCCCGACCCTCCCCTCCCTCCGGTACAACCTCACTTCTCCCCTCCTACCCGCACACCCTCACCTCCTGGCAGAAATGCCCGATGCCCCGGATCTTGAAGGAGCCGGCCGGCTGCACATTCTCACACTTGAGGAAGACGGTGGTGCCCGCCACCTGGGACAGCGCCCAGCTCTCCAGCAGGGGCGTGACCACGTGGAAGTGCCCGCCCTTAGCGCACTCCGCCAGAGGGCTCTCCATCCCAGCAACCACCTGGCGGGCCTGGGGAGGACACGGGGCCTCAGCCCAGGCAGCTCCAGTCAGGGTTCCCCCTAACCAGGCCGGGAGAGGAGGGGAGATGGGAGAGTGGAGACGCCCTCGGCTTGGTTCTCTTAGCCCCGTCTAGCTGCCAACCTGTGAGACTTCAGGCAAGAACCTGCTCCTCTCTGGGCCTCAGTTTCCCCATCTGGGCAAAAACCTTTGGACTAGGGGCCTTTCATTCTGTAACCGAGGCTGCCCACAGCGCTGGGGACATAAAACCTGGCCAATAAGAAGTGATGAGTGGCCCTAACTGGTTTGGCTCAATGGATAGAGTGTCGGCCTTGGGACTCAAGGGTCCCAGGTTCGATTCCGGTCAAGAGCACGTACCTTGGCTGCAGGCACATCCCCAATAGGGAGTGTGCAGGAGGCAGCTGATTGATGTTTCTAACTCTCTATCCCTCTCCCTTCCTCTCTGTAAGAAATCAATAAAATATATTTTTTAAAAAAAGAAGTGATGAGTGAATGAAAATGGGAGAGTTCATTCATTCATTCATTCAAAAAAACATTTATTAAGCACCCACTATGTGCCAGGTGGGTCCATGTTGTGGGACCTGGGCCCAGACAAGTCAGAGGGAGCCCTGCTTTGCCAGAGCTCACATTCTAGGAGGGGAAACAGTTACAGAATTTCTAACAGCCTCACCCGGCGTCCACTCCCGGCCGCCTGTTCCAGCCACACCTGCACCACTCCCCTCCTTCTCTCCTCCGTCATCATTGTCGTTATGTTTTTTTCTCTGGATTATTTCATCTATAGACATTTCAACATGTACCTCTATAAGTGAAGGGCTCCTTTTATTCTGGCAAGATTTATTTTATTTTATTTTACATTTTTTGTTGAGATATCATCGCCCTGGCCAGGTAGCTCAGTTGGTTAAAGTGTCATCCCCATATGCCAAGGTTATGGGTTCGATCCCCCGTCAGGGCACATCCACGAGTCAACCAATGAATACATAAGAAGTGGAACAATAAGTTGATGTTACTCTCTCTCTCTCTCTCTCTCTCTCTCTCTCTCTCTCTCTCAACTCAGTTTAAAGTTTTTAATTTAAAAAAATAAAAAAGAGATATAATTGAATGTAACGTATTAGTTTCAGGCATACAACATAATGATTCGACATTTGTATATATGGCAAAATAATCATCACAATTCATCTAGTTAACATCTGGCACCTAACATAGTTAGTTACAGATTGTATTTGTGTGATGAGAACTTTTAAAATCTACTCTCTTAAAAAAAATAAAAAATAAAATAAAATCTACTCTCTTAATAGCATTCAAATATGCAATACAGTATTGTTAACTGTAGTCAGTGCTGTTACACCCAAGGACTTATTTATCGTATGTCTTTCGCCACACAGAAGAACTCTCTTTTTTAAAACAAAGGCACGCGATTTTTCACAACAGTGCATATTTTTCCAAACTCATTAAATTTTAACTGAAAGTGGGCTCACTTTTTTTTAATGTAAATTATACCTCAAAAATGTTTTTAAGAGAGAGAACCAAGATGGCGGCATAGGTTAACGCCGGAGTTTGCTGCTTTGAACAACTACTTCAAAAGTGAAACCAAAAAACGGAAGGGACATCACCCAGAACCACAGGAACGCTGGCTGAGTGGAAGTCCTACAACTAGGAGGAAAGAGAAACGCACACGGACACTCAGAGGAGGCGCAGTGCTGAAGTCAGATTCTGAGGTGCGGAGTGCGCGGAGCGGGCTGGCGGCGGAGGGCGAAGTTGGCGTTTTCAATCGGGAGGGAGTCGCAGACTCTGAGCTCCAGATACGGGCGAGTCTTTAGCGACCCAGACTCAAACGGGAGAAGCGGGACTGTCTGGCTTCGGTCAGAGCGAGTGCAGCTTTCTCTCCGAGCTTTGCAGCGGGTGCTGGGACTCAGAGAGGCAGAGCCCCTGGGGACAGGACTGAGAGCCGCCATAACTGCTCTCTCAGGCCCACCCTGTTGATCCTGTGCGACCCGCCCCGCCCAAGCCCTGCACACAGGCATTTGCCGGATAGCCTCAGGCAAACGCCAGATTAGCACCTCCCTAGAGGACAGAAGTTCTCTCACTGCAGACACAGCTGATTCTCATAGCCACTTGGCCTGGAGGTCAAACCCTCCCTGGTATTAGCTACAACAATCAAGATTTAACTATAAGACTGCGAACAAAGACCACTAGGGGGTGCACCAAGGAAGCATAACAAAATGCAGAGACAAAGAAACAGGACAAAATTGTCAATGGAAGATATAGAGTTCAGAACCACACTTTTAAGGTCTCTCAAGATCTGTTTAGAAGCCGCCAATAAACTTAATGAGATCTACAAGAAAACTAATAAGACTCTCGATCTTATATTGGGGAACCAACTAGAAATTAAGCATACACGGACTGAAATAACGAATATTATACAGACTCCCGACAGCAGACCAGAGGAGCGCAAGAATCAAGTCAATGATTTGAAATGCGAGGAAGCAAAAAACACCCAACCGGAAAAGCAAAATGAAAAAAGAATCCAAAAATGCGAGGATAGTGTAAGGAGCCTCTGGGACAGCTTCAACATCAGAATTATAGGGGTGCCAGAAGATGAGAGAGAGCAAGATATTGAAAACCTATTTGAAGAAATAATGACAGAAAACTTCCCCCACCTGGTGAAAGAAATGGACTTACAGGTCCAAGAAGCGCGGAGAACCCCAAACAAAAGGAATCCAAAGAGGACCACACCAAGACACATCATAATTAAAATGCCAAGAGCAAAAGATAAAGAGAGAATCTTAAAAACAGCAAGAGAAAGAAACTCAGTTACCTACAAGGGAATACCCATACGACTGTCAGCTGATTTCTCAACAGAAACTTTGCAGGCCAGAAGGGAGTGGCAAGAAATATTCAAAGTGATGAATACCAAGAACCTACAACCAAGATTACTTTATCCAGCAAAGCTATCATTCAGAATTGAAGGTCAGATAAAGAGCTTCACAGATAAGGAAAAGCTAAAGGAGTTCATCACCACCAAACCAGGATTATATGAAATGCTGAAAGGTATCCTTTAAGAAGAGGAAGAGGAAGAAAAAGGTAAAGATACAAATTATGAACAACAAACATGCATCTATCAACAAGTGAATCTAAGAATCAAGTAAATAAATAATCTGATGAACAGAATGAACTGTTGATTATAATAGAATCAGGGACATAGAAAGGGAATGGACTGACTATTCCTGGGGGGGAAAGGGGTGTGGGAGATGCGGGAAGAGACTGGACAAAAATCGTGCACCTATGGATGAGGACAGTGGGTGGGGAGTGAGGGCGGAGGGTGGGGCGGGAACTGGGAGGAGGGGAGTTATGGGGGGGGAAAAAGAGGAACAAATGTAATAATCTGAACAATAAAGATTTAATTAAAAAAATAAAAATAAAAATGTTTTTAAAAATCACACTTAAAATAATTTCTTAATATCAAATATCTGTTAAGTGTTCACATTTCTAGTTATCTCGTTAAATGTGCTACCTGGTCATTTTGCAGTTGGTTGGTAGTGGTTTGGATTTTTGTTGTTGTTTACTATATTTTTATTGATTTTTATAGAGAGGAAAGGAGAGAGATAGTTAGAAACATCCATCAGCTGCCTCCTGCACGCCTTCTACTGGGGATCCAGCCTGCCACCAAGGTGCATGCCCTTGACCAGAATCCAAACCCCAGACCCTTCAGTCCGCAGGCCGCGGCTCTATCCACTGAGCCAAACCGGTTAGGTCTGGTTTGGGGTGTCTAACAGCTTGAATCAGATGCGTCATAGGACCTGAGCATTTTGGCTGGTTGTGAGGTCTTTTAATTCATTTTTTACCTGAAAATTCTCAAAGGGGGAATTCTGAGATAAATGGCAATAAGAAAGCCAAAGGAAGGCATTCCTGCAGCAGGAACAGCAGATAGAACCACCAAATCTAGAAATGAGCCTGAGGAGACTGGGCGGGAGCAGGAGCAGGCGGTGGGCAAGGCCATGGGGAGGGCGTTCTAGCCCAAAGCGGGGGATTGGGACGTTATTCTAATTCTACTTGCAGTGGGAAGCAATGAATGAACACGTGGGTCAGGGCGAGATTGAAGAGAGGGAGGAAATGAAAGGAAGAACAAATAGAAGAACTTGTATAGGAGCAAATTCTCTGCTGTGCCCTGCAATTCCACTATTTGCCACTAGGAGGAGCACTGCAACCTCCCCCACCCACCACAAGCCGAAGCCTCTTGTTCACCCTTACTTAGTCAGGGAGGGGGCCCCGGGGAAGAGTCCCAGGTCTACCCGCCCTGGGGTTGACCCTCTGGCCGTTGTTGGGATGGCCCTGGGATTCCCCAGGCCGGGCGCAGCCCGAGCCACCTCCAGCCGGGGCACTTCGCGAGCTGAGCATGGCAGTGGCGAAGAGCAGCATACCTTGACCTAGACCTCACCTCAGCCCCAGAGCCCGAGTGTGGACTTTAGGGCCAATCAGAGACCAGCTATGACTTTCCGACTGTGCAACCCAGACCAGTGTCTCAACCTCTCTGCGCCTGTTTCCCTTTCTGTAAGCTATGAATAACAGGCTCACAGGCTATGGTGCCTATTGCTGTAATGATAGCTACCCTTTGCTGAGTCCCTATGATGCGTCAGACATCGGCTGAGTCCTCCAGGCTCTCTGCTTTGTTACCTCGCTGGGGCCCCGACGATGCTGGCGGGCTCCCCCTTACTCTACATGTTTACACGGCATCACAAGGTGCGTCTTAGAAACTGGAATAACATGGGAAAACAAGACAGATGTCTACTCTTGCAGCTGCCGTATAGTCTGATGGAGAGACCAGCATTCGACAAATAACTGTATAGACAGACAAACTAGGTCATCAGAAACGGCGAAAACCGCTATGAGGGGAACGCGCGTGTCGGGAGTCCGGAAGAGAAGAGAAAGGGGACCTACTTTGGGTCGGGGGTCAGGAATGACCTCTGGGGGGCGGTGACCATTAAAACTGAGGCTGAGCCCTGGCTGGTGTGGCTCAGTTGTTTGGAGCATCTGCCCATCTACCGAAAGGCTGCAGGTTCGACTCCGGGTCAGGGCATGTGCCCCCGTTTCAGGCTCAGTCCCTGGTGGGGGCGTGCAGGAGGCAGCTGATCGATGTTTCTCTCGCATCAATGTGTTTTTCTCTCTCTCCCTCTCCTTTCCTCTCTCCCTAAAAACCAATGGAAAATCTTTTAAAAAGAGAAACTGAGGCCCAGAGAGGTTGAGTAATTTGCCTAAGGTCACACAGCTAGAAATGGCCCAGCCAGGATTCAAACGCGGGCAGTGTGCTTTGGCATCTGTGCTCATAACCACATGCAGCGTGAAGCCCAGGGCTTGGGTTCAGGTCCCGGCAAGCATGGCCGTGGCCAGGCCATCTTTCTTCCTGGGCCCCACCTGGTGCATCCATGAGTTGGGTAAAGACCAACCACCTTTTCCACCTCCCTGTCCCTCGGGCTTTTCCCCAGAGGCCACTGGTGACACTCCACAGCCAAGTCCCTGGCGCCAGGGCTGGGAGGCCTGGACCGGCCTGGCTGGCAGCGTGTTCACCCCTGCCCCTCTGGCAAGCAAAGCCTCTCTCCTGCAAGGCAGGATGGTCCCGGGCACCCTGAGTGGAATCGATATTCCTGGGAGGGCTTAGGCCACTGTCACCCTCTCTCCCTTTCCATCCACTCAGCGGGGACTTTGCCCCAGAGCCTTTCAGACTCCCCTACATGCATCTCCTCATGTGCACGCAGAGCCCCAGGGGCCCCCGTTTGGGCCCCAGGCCGCCTTACCTTTCTGCTCAAGAGTCCCGGATCCAACTTGGCTGCAGCCTGCTGCCCACAGCCTAACTGGAACCAGCTCTGCCCGGCTTCTGCCAGCCTCCCGTGGCCTTGACCCCTCCTCCCGTGTTAAAGGGACAGCTCCCCGCTGGAGAGCGAAAGAGGGTGAGATCCACCTCACCGCCTCCCTGTGTGCCATCCGCGGCGCAGGCATTCCCTGGTCCCATTTGACAGATTAAGAAACTGAGGCTCCAAGGGGGAAATACACTTGGCTGAGGCCACCCCGCCAGTGAGAAACACCCTTTGTCTCTCACCCTGGCCTGCCTCTCCCACCACACAGACATCTTTGTGTAAATGCTGGTCCCAAGAAAACAAAGAAACAGTTGTCACGTGAGAAAGGCGTCTTTTCCGGCAGCACTGCCTCATCTCTGACACCTCACGCCCCACACGGGAGCCGAACGATTATTTATTTTTCAAATGAATGACTCTGGCAATTGGTTCATTCGTTCAAAAAATATTTACTAGACACCTACCATGTGTCACATCCCAGGACCTTTAGCCTCAAACAAAATAGCATGTTCCCTGCCCTCCTGGAGCCTCAAGGGGTCACTGAAGAGTAGTTACAATCAGTGCCGTCAGGCACAGGGCTGCCAGTGCCCGCAGCAAGTACGTCACTTGGCCCTGAGGACTGGAAGGCTTCCCGGAGGAGGAGGAGAAGGAGGGGGGGGGAGGAGGAGGAGAGGAGGCTGAGCTCAGCCAGCAATCAGGAACATGGAGTGCAAAGGTCTGGAATGGAAAAACATGGTGGGACTGGAACCAAGAAGGCAGGGGCGAGGCAGCAGGAGGGTTCGGGGCTGGAGAGGTGGGCAGGGATCAGAGTCCACAGGGACAGCTATGCCAACCCAGAGCCGGGACCTGACCCAGGGGCACTTGGGAGCCATGGAAGGCTGTGGGCAGGAGGGGGATATAACCAGATTCCCCGCTTGTCTCCCTCACCGTCCCACTGGGAGAACCTGTGCTAACCACATCCATCTGGTTTCCCTGTGGCAGATGGGAGGTGGGGTCCAGGTGTACCCTTCTTGGACTTGGGGCGACCTCCTCGGGGTTGATGATTAACTCCCGGCCACCTGGGGTGAAGTCGAGCTGCTTGGCCCTGATCCCTGATGAGAACGCTGACAGTTTCATTCCCATCCGCACGTTAAACACGCACCCATCCCCCCGTGTTCTGTCCTGAACGGGGCGCTGGGAACAGAGGTGGTAAACCCCGGTTCCTGTCCTGAGGTGGCCCCCAGCCTGGACGGGAAAGACGCCCAATTCAATGACATTTCCCACACCCCCCAGGGACGACAGAGAGCAGAAAGTCCCCACAGGACAGCTGAGGGTGGGGTGGGATCGGGGAGGGCTCCCTGGAGGAGCAGGGCCTTCACACACCTCGGGCTTGGACAAGAAGCACCGCTTGCTGCACTCGTTGCCTGCCTACTGTGTGCCGGCCCTTCGTGTTGGCCAGTATATCCTAAAGGGCTTTAATGGCTGGGTTTTTATTCGTGTGCAATAGGAGATGCCAAACCACAATGTCATGGATATCCTTGCTTCGGAAGAAGTTGGGCGGGTGTTAACACTTCATAATAGAGTCTGTTCTTTGGTTTTATTTTTTAATCTTAAGTAATAGGAGTAGTCTGGCATGGAGAGGCAGTGGGCCTAATAGTTAGAACACAGACCCTGGAGCCTGGCTCTGGTACAAGTAAATACCAACCTCCACTCACTGGCTGTGTGACGTTGGGTAAATTCATTAACCTCTCTGCTTTGTTTCCTCAACTGTAAGATGGGGATAAAATGCTTCCCTAGCCCTAACCGATTTGGCTCAGTGAATAGAGCATCGGCCTGCGGACTCAAAGGTCCCAGGTTCGATTCCGGTCAGGGGCATGTACCTGGGTTGTGGGCACATCCCCAGAGGGGAGTGTGCAGGAGGCAGCTGATTGGTGTTTCTCTCTCATCGATGTTTCTAACTCTCTATCCCTCTCCCTTCCACTCTGTAAAAAAATCAATAAAATATATTTTTTTAAAAAAATGCTTTCCTAGTGGAACTGATGGGAAGGTCGAGTGAGTTAATATACGTACAACACTTAGAGCAGCGATGAGGACTCTGCGTTGACTGCTGCTGTTGTGACTGTTGTTATTGTCACTGTTATAACAGACAGCGATGTGACCAAAATGGCAGCGTCCGAGGTTTGGGAGCATGACATCATGACGTCACGGAATGTTGACAGCACCCTGGGGCGGCGAGGATTGTAATGAACTCTACGTCGTGGAATCCGACTTAGCTCAGAAAGGTCAAGTCACTTTCCCACGGTCGCACAGCAGCGGCAGAACCAGGGCTCACACCCAGAGGGGCCGGGCTCCAAGAGCTGCCGGCTTGAAAGAGGTTGGGCTGAGGAGAGCCAGGGTGGCCGCATCTGATGAGGCGAGAGGGATGGGCCCGGGCACTGACCTGTCCCCTCCGAGGGCCACCTTCGTCAGCCAGCTGCTGTCCCGCTGCCGCAGGCCGCCACACCCCCACCTGGCCGGCCCCTGGGGTTATTCATTAAGCTCCATTTCATCATCATCACCCCCCGCTGGCTGTCTTGTTTGCCAGGCCAGGGAACTGCATGGAGAGCAGCGATGGCACCTTGGCCACTGGCGATGGGCCCTCCAGACCTGCAGGCTGGACTCTGGACTCGGGCCATGTCTTTTCTGAGCCACGAGACTCAGTTCTGTTAACCGGGTGAGAGAACGGGGTTCAGGTAGTCGTGCCACCAGCCCAGCTAGTGGGTCACCCGGCTGGGACTTGGACCCAGGTCTCCTAACGCCCAGCACATCTTAGGCGACTTCTCAGGCCGTCGCCAAGACACTAAACCATTCAGAGCAGAGGGGGTCTCAACCTGCGGCCGCGTTTCTGTGGCTGGAGCTCATTCACTCTGTCCTCTAGTGCAGTGGTCGGCAAACCGCGGCTCGCGAGCCACATGCGGCTCTTTGGCCCCTTGAGTGTGGCTCTTCCACAAAATACCACGTGCGGGCACGCACGTGCAGTGCGATTGAAACTTCGTGGCCCGTGCGCAGAAGTCGGTTTTCGGCCTGGGCGAGTCTACTTTGAAGAAGTGGCGTTAGAAGAAGTGGGGGGTGTCGGTCGGTCGGTCGGGCGGGCGACAGGAGACGCAGGGCAGGCAGACCGCGAGATACGCAGCGCGGGGAGGGGGGGGGGGGACACGATTCATGCACGAGTTGAGGATGGGAGAGTTGGAAGGGGTCCACCTCAGCGAACGTACCTCAATCAGATTGAGGATGTTTTTAGCAAAGGCCAGCTTAGGAGTACCCTAATTAAGTTAATAACAATGTACCTACCTATATAGTTTAAGTTTAAAAAATTTGGCTCTCAGAAGAAATTTCAATCGTCGTACTGTTGATATTTGGCTGTTGACTACTGAGTTTGCCGACCACTGCGCTAGGGGCATGGCTCTCCACGTGCCCCTGGCCCCACCTCTTCCTACTGCCTGGCCCTGCAGACATTTGAGTTCGAGACCCTTGAACAGAGGAACTTTCCCCTGTCCTCTTGCCCCTGAAAGGAGTCCGTTATCAAGGGAGAAGCAGAGGCACAGAGAGGTTAAGTAACCTGCCCCAGGTTGCCCAGCAAATAGGCCCTGGGGCCAACCTTCGAGGGACCCCACATCCAACCTGGATGCTCTTGTCCTAAGAGACATAAATCTACTAGCAGCCCAGCGCACGAAATTCGGGGACAGGTACAGTCCCTAGGCCTGGCCTGCGATCAGGGCCACCTTCCCCGGATGCCCACAGCCGGCCCCGCCACCCACCCCAACTCACCCCCGGCTCCCCGTCTGCCATCGGGTGATCGGTGCCTGACACCAGGGGAAGGGACCAAGAGGTGGTCAGTGCACCTCCTAGTGACTGGTCCAGCGGTCATTAGGGTTAATTTGCATATTACCCTTTCATTATATAGGACAGTCACAGTATCTAAGCTGAAAGAACCAGCAAGAGCCGGATAATGCTCCCCTTTTGCGGGTGGGGAAACTGAGGCCCATAAGGAAAAGGGGGGGGGCAGTTTGGCATCTGTCCTCAAGGCCAAGGAGAAATGTATTCATGGATTTCGTTATTTACTTATTTAAGTGCATGAAGGTGCTAATAAATGGTGAACCTTCCGGTGAACAAAGAACTCAGGAAAGATGCGCAGACATCCCGAAGGAAGCTCCGGCGGGCGGGCTCTCCTGCACACGTGGCTGCAGGAGCTGAGCTGAGCTGAGCTGAGGGCCTGGCCCGGTTCTCAGGGTCGGGAGATAGTGGACGGAGGGGACAGGGGTCCGAGGACACAGTGGCTTCCACTCACTCAGCCTCATTTCCTCTTCTTGGCTGAGACTCAGCCCTGACTCGGGGTGAGGTAAGGTGAGGTGGGTGTGGGGAGCTTTTCTGAGGGTGCGATGAGTCAGCTTGTGCCAAAAGGGGCTATTGCCTCTGCGGATGTGGCCCAGAAAGTGGGCATCCCGGTGCAGCAGCCTCAGGAAGGGTGGGGGTTGGCATTCCTGGTGGGAGCAGGCCCCGGGGAGGACTTCCTTGGCCTCAACTCAGGGGGGACCATCCCCACCCCGGGCTGTAACAATGCGGCTGAAAATCAAGGTCCATCTGTGTGAGCCAAAGTAGAAGGGTATTTGGTCAAAGGCTGTGTAACCTTAATGCGGCATTTCCTGAGCTGTTTTCCTTTCTCCAGTTGATAAGGCTCGCTGTCAGCTGATTTCTTCGGCTTTGGGCTTTTCTCGGAATGGAGTTGGGATTCACTTTCTGTTCTTGGCTGAATGGGCGGGAATGCGCCCCGGCTGAGGGCCATGCATGGGGCTGCACCTCGACCAGCTGCCCCACAGCTTGTGGGTGCAGCTCCATGAGCCGCCCCAGCCACGAGCCCGGGGGTGCACAGGGGGGCTGTCGGGGGAAGCATGGAAGTTCCAGAGTATTCCAAAGTTCTTATATTCGGTCTCGGTATACGTTTGTCTGGGCTGCTTCTTATTTTCAGTTGCTCTGTTGACATTTAAGTTAAAAACAGGCTGGGAGCCTTTGTAACTCAGGGGCACTTGTCTCTTAGTGAGTCCGTCAGGGTGGTTCAAGGCCATATGGGAAAGAGTGTTCATGTGTAGCTGCTGGTATGAAATCTTTCCTCTTCTTGGTCTTTGTTTATTAAAATTCATCACTGATTGCCCTCGCCGGTTTGGCTCAGTGGACAGAGCG